AAAAAAAAAAAAAAAAAAAGACAGAAAGGCACCATACAGGTACGGTACGGAATTTGGTGTTCAGGGCATCGGCGGATTTCGCATTCTCCATCTTCCTACCTGCAACGGACTTGCTGCTACGGTACTCCTTCACACGCCCACCCCCCTTCCCTTCATCTCTATTCTAGTAAGGTGACCACTACTCGTACACACTACCCGTACCTACGCTCTCTCCTTCCCTCACTTCCGACAGCCTGACCCATACTACGCTACTGTACGCCTACACCACACCCACATCCTATTACCCTCCTTCCCTCACTTAAACTGCCCAACGCCAATCCTCAAGCCCTCACGGCCTCCCCAGACCTTTTGCTAGCTATTGGCTGAAACCGGACGCGGCTCTCTCGTCAAATTTAAATTGCTGCTTTCAATTAGCCTACTGCGATTCATTAAATTGCATTTTCTTAACCCCATCCTTCTGACCGCTTCCCGAACTTATCTTCCCCCACCCTTAACCTCGAAGGGACTCTTGGACGGGACAATAAGATACGATACATGAGCACTGGCGCATTACCTCCCTCCCATTACTAGTCTACCGAACGCCTGTCACCCGTGAACCTCCTCTCTTCCTCCTGGTGCTGGGCTACGACTACAACCACGACCGATAGCGATCGCCTCCGGCAGACTGTCCTATACCACGACGAACACCCAACTTCACATATCCCTCAAATTATACACTTGCAGCGTCCCATGGATGGGGACAGGAGGCTGGTGCAGACTTTGTTGGAGAGGCTTTCAGCGAGGGTATATCTTTGACTCCTACCTTCTACTGCGCACCCGATACGCTGCGGCTCATCGAAGAGAGAGAGAGAGAGTTGTTCGACTGATCATTTGCTGCGCAGCTTCCCTTTCGGACCGGAGATGACTTGAGCGATGTTAGACGTGATGAAGTAATCGCCTTGGCTCGGGGCTCGCTGATTGAGCTGGCAAAGGCCCAGATCGATATTGTCGTTGACAGCATCGCCAAGCACCTAGAGTCCATTTCACGGGTATGTCTAATTTAATAGAGCTCTTTCTATATCTTCAGCGTGAGGTGTGCTGAGATGGGTATCTCCTTGATGTGTAGGGCTTTGGTGATCTCGCCCCCAGGGGTAGGCCTTTCGTACTCCTCACCCAAACCTACTTGGTTGAAGTTCTCGCCGACTGCACGGGCGCTCATTGGGACTCTATCGACGCTGTGCATCGAGGGGCAATGGAGGAGAAGGCCCCACTCACGGAACCATTACGGAATCTGGGGATTTCAACGAGGAAGACACGGAGAAGGGAAAGGGAGCCGCCGCCACTAGACGATATACAAGCTAAATATGTTCTGGAATTGCTTTTACGACTGACGGCAAACCCGCTAGTGGACGATGGGCACAGCTCATCTGTGGGGAGAAGGGAGAATAATAATAATACCCAGTCGGAGGAGCGTAGTCTTGACGGGCTTCCCAGGAAGGCCAGTGATCTCGAACGTGCGTCGTTCAGGGTGATCGAGTATCTTAGCGCTTCGAATTGGGCCTTGGTGTTCCACACCATGTCTCAAAGGTTGAAGTTCTTGCGAACGACCCCCTCCGATGATAGCGATGCGAGCGGCCTCCAATTCATTGCTCACATGTGGATTAATCAGGAGAAGCTGTCACTCATTATTAAGGAAATTAGCGGCAGTTTCCTTGCGTTACGGAAGCCTGCGCAAAACATGCTGGCGGCGCTGTTACCAGAGACCATTCATCGGTGGATCGAAGCTCATCCGAAAGACTTCGTTGACCTACATGTAAATGATAGGCGACTTGAAAAGGGTGTAGATAACTTATTCGACATCGCTACATCCCTTGCTGACGGTGCGAAGCGACGGGCTATCATCTGGCCGCTTCAAACAGCTCTCGTACTTCTTTTACCGGACGTCTTCTGGACTGTGGAGGTGCGGAGTGACCAGCGGGGAAGTCTGTCCAAAAAGGTTGCCTTCTTAAATGATCTCCGGCGTTCTCTGCGGCTTCCAAGGACTGCAGACATTGCTGCATCATGTCTTATCATCATGTGCCGTGCTGGTAGCCTCTTTCCAGCTGAATCGGAGAGCAATCTTCTGAGCTTTGCGTTAGACGTGCAGAATGAGGTGACAGAGGAAATATTCCGACGACATCAACTCGGTGATGATCTCAGTGTCGATAGAGACATCATGATAAAGGCGTTTGTGAGTTCGGCAAGACTGGGCGTAGATAGCGTTGTCGAGAGCTTGTTACCAAGGTGTTTGGATAAAAATTCGCCAATCACCTTCAAGATTACGGTCTTCGCTGGGGTGGCTGTGTTGGCGTCGCAGGTATGGGGATTCTGTGGATATCGTGAGTTGGCGGTGAGTTCCGGTTCCGGTTGCTGATTCCAGTCTGGCTTTAGAATAATGCGGAAGATTTCAACGCGTTATATTATGCGATCGCACCTGATGTGCGGGAACTCGTTATTGTATGCTGTCCTTCCTCTCTCACCCGTTATGCGTTGCAATCTAATGGCCAACTAGAATATCGCTTCCACTCGACATGCCAATAGCAGCATTACGAATGGATCCTCTCTGGCTGGGAGTACCCTGAGTTCGCAGACCCGACATAAGAATTTGTCCACCGATAGCATTGGGTCATCCGAATTGCTTTATCAGTTGTTGGAACTTCTTAAAATCCGTCCGTTGTTGATGTACGAGAATTTGGATGCGGGCGCCGAGGAATGGGATCGATTAGGAGATAGGGTGATCAGTAGTCTTCTGAGGCTCATATACGACGATGACGAATTTGTTAGGCATTCCGCTGTGGTGTTTGCCAGAAGGCTCTTGAGTCCGGAAGCTTTTCAGATGACCACAGACATGCGATTGGGTCAAGGGGCGATCAGTGTGCTGAACTTCTTCTGGAAAGCGACGTTAGTTTCCCCAAATTACACCTGGATCTGACGGGGCTAAGCAATAATGTGGTGTATAGATCTGCAATTGTAGCTACTTTGTCAAAGAAGCTACTGGATTTTGATTTCCAAGAACCAGCATTGAAGAGCCTATTGGAGCTGGTTCACGGATATCTGGAAACCAGAGTCAGCATCATTTCTTCTAGAAAGGTGACTTTTGCTTCTGGCACACAAGTATCTTCGCCAACAAAGACTGAATTTTTGGAAAAGGACATCACGGAGAGCATCACAGATATCCCTGAACGCGCCATCGCCAACGTATCGCTCGAGGTGTCACTCTTGGTCCTGCTGTGCTCTAGCGATCTCGATATATGCTCTATCACAACACATGCTATTGCCCTTCTTTGCGAAGAGGGGCGTTTAACCGAGAATCCCGACGATCTGGCGAGGAGTAATTTGACAGTCATGCGCAACTTTCCTGTATACTCCGAATTATCTTTACAGACCTTTAGAATCACAGGCCCTGTAGCATTCCAGAAGCGATTGAGGAGACTGCTGACAAGAATGAACATGCCTGGCCCAGGGATCCTTACAGCTTGGGAAGCAGTTTTCACGAGATGGCGGACACTTTCAAAACATATCCTTTCCCCCGGTGTAGCAAGTGCTGGTGGAATAGATGATGGGATATTCGCCGAGTGGAGAAATTATTCAGGCTTCTTAGCATCAATTGCGGGATGCTGCATTGCGGATTTGCCGCACCAACTCCGCACAGAAGACTCGACGACGTCAGGCCTGCGTTGGATCGATCGCCTTGCCAGTGACGGTGACCAAATGAGCCTGTTGGAACGATTCATGAAGCAGTGCTTGCAATTACTGGTGTGCAAGCTCGTCAATGTGCGGGAGAATATCAGAGAGGTTCTCGGCACTGAGTTGAATCCCCGGCTCTACCTCCAGCTATTCAGAAGCTTAGAGACGGAGTTCAGTATTTTGTTTGACCTTGGCTTCAAGGACACTCAGAGTGAGAACCGGACGTTATTTGCGGAGCAAGCCTGTAGTCTGCTGAAGACTATTGTGGAGAGACTGGAGGATGCTCAGGATATGTTTCTTACAGTCGACTTGGGAGCACTGACATTGAGCCTTGCGAGATACCTAAACACACTCAAGGAGGATTACACTACGTTGAGGGTCAAGATTAGGATGTGTCAGTTGGTGGAGCTCGTCGCGAGGAAAAAGGAACTTGTGAATCTCAGACAGGATATTAGAGTACGAAATAATTTGCTGCAGATTCTTAGCGAGTGGATGCCTCGTCCTGCGAAGGTAAGCCTTTCATCTGCTCCTCCAAGATGGTTTCTCAATCGCTGATGTAGTAGGAGACGAACTATCCCATCAACCCTCGCAAAGATGAGCTTATACGCCCACAACGTGATCTCGACCGTGCTTGTCTCAAAGCCCTTGTAAATTTGCTTCACCGTCTCCCATTACAGCCTCCGGAGACAGCGCATGATAGCGCGGATGTGGTTGATGCTCGCTCACAGATTTTCTGCAGCTATTTCACCTTGTTCCTCTCGTTGCTGGACTGTAGCCAGCTTGAGGGCGATAGGAGACGCGAATGGCAAACTGTCTCATTAGCTAAAGATGATGCTAGCAGCTTCCAAGACCTTGCGATCCAAGCATTGAGTAACTTGCTTAATGCGAACGTAGATGTCGGCTTGAAGTTCAGTTTGGAGATTGGCTACCATGACGATTTACAGACAAGGACTGCCTTCATGCATGTGCTCACTAATATCTTAACCCAGGGAACTGAATTTGGGGCATTAGGCGATTCGGCTATCGGCGAGAAGTACGAGAAGCTGATTGATGTGAGTTCTGTGACCAGCTGGTACAAATGGGCAAAAGGAATGCTAATCGGGGAAATTTAGCTGCTCGTGAATGACCTCCAGTTTGCCTTGGCTTTGTGTGACAGTTGCCCCAGCAGTGAGGTTGACGAAATGAGCATTGCGTTGCTTAACATCTTTGATTCGCGAGGTCTGGGATTGACTCTATTGAAGGAGCTCATCGAACAAGAGGTTGTAAATACAGGTCAGCTTCACACCACGTCTTCCGGGGGCTATATGTGATTGCAGTTAACGCTGTAACAGAAAGTGAATCGGAGCTTCTCCGAAGGAATTGCGTGGCGACAAAAATGCTATCCGTCTTTGCCAAATGGAAGGGATCGGAATATTTGCGCAATGTTCTCCAGAAGGTCCTCCAGCGAGTGATCGTTTCGTCTGATAAGCTTGGTCTAGAACTCGACCCAACAAGGACTCCTTCGACGGAAGAGCTACGCCGGAATGAGTTGCAACTACGATACATCACCAAGGTGTTTATCGACGAAATCTGTAAATCCGCGAACATCGTCCCAAATTCTTTCCGATGGATCTGCCACACTATCACTACCTGCGTAACCTCACGCTTCCCGGAGGCAAAGTTCACCGCTGTCGGCGCGTTCATATTTCTTCGATTCTTCTGCCCGGCAATTGTCGCACCCGACTCGGAAGGCCTCGTCCAGAGCATCCCAAACAAGGAGATGCGGAGAGGCCTGCTGCTGATTGCTAAGATTGTGCAGAACCTTGCCAACAATGTCTTGTTCGGGGCTAAAGAGCCTTACATGATCCCACTTAACGACTTCCTCACGTCAAATATCTGTGCGGTCACGGCGTTCCTCCGCGAGATTTCTAGCCTACCGAAGAAGCAGGAGCCGGTGGTTGCACAGGAGTCCTTCGATTTTGGCAGTAGTGTTGCCCTTCATAGATTCTTGTATGATCACTGGGAGATTGTACGACAGAAGCTCATTTTTCAAGAGAAGCACAAGGCCAGGCTGAATGGGGAGAAGAGCTTTTCTGCGGATGCTGGGCCGTCGAACTTGCAGTTATCTGTTACAAAATTCTCTGGCCTGATCAGCACCCTGGGGGCTCCGCCGTTGGACATCAGTTTGGGAAGACCGACACTCACGGGGAATATTCAACCAGCGTACAGCAGATATCAGCATTTCATGCTAAGGAACTCTGGCAGAAGTGTGGAGAGTATTCTTGCCGCTAGAATCGTTTACGATGGTGGAGAGACTAAAGATAACATGCCGGTTATCTGCTTCGTGCTGAGGAATATCAATATTGCAACTGTGGATCCTGATCTGCTGATATACTGCTATCTGAAGGTTTGCTATTCCACTCACTATCGTTTCCTGGCTGGCGCTGATGTTTGATGGCATAGATTGCGAGCAGGATGTGGAACAAACCCTTCGCGGTGCTCATTGACGCTACTTGCTATAGCCTGAACAATGAGATGCCAGACGAGCTCTACAAGAAGATTGACAGCCTTATGCCCCCGGAGATGGTCAAGAATTATAGTAGGTTGTACATCTACAACATGAACACTGCTTTCCGCAAGTTTTTCCGCCGGCAATTACGTTATGCCGTTCGCGATGAGGCTAATGCCTGGAATCCGAACAATATCGACTTTATCATGTTGGGCAGTCTTGCGGAGTTACAACAGCATTTCAATCTTGGCTCTCTACATCTTCCCAAGGAAACAATGAGCTTTCTTAGCGATCCTCGGTATATGTACCATCATATCACTCGGCTATCGAAGACCAAGGGCAAAATAGAGGTGGTATTCAAAATTGGCGCTCAGTACATCCAGATCACGCCGACAAAGAAGCAGGAAATTGTCGCTGGGTTGAAGATGTCTGCTATCATAAATGATATCTTCCGATTGAATGATGTGGAGGAAGCTAACGCATCCTTCCACACCGACGAGGAGAACGCTTTCGGAATTAAGACCGATAACGGGAAGCTTACCATGTTCTTCTCTAGCCCAAAGAGGAGTGAGATTGTTCAAACTCTCAAAAACTCAAAGTCGAAGTACTCCAAGGATAACAGGCCTTCAAAGCTCAGTGAGAGGACGATAAGGCCAGAGGATGTTCCTGGAACTTTGTTAAACATCTCTCTGATGAACATTGCCAGCTATGACCAGTATCTGAGGTTGGCAGCATATAACCTCCTCTGCGCGCTGTGCCAGGCTTTCGGGTTCGGCCTGGACAGGCAATTCGTCAGCGCGAAAGGTTTGAGTATCCCGACGGACCCGGTGACCCTGATTGTAGGTGTGAGCGAGAAGTTGGCCGCAGCAGAGCCACGGCTGACATTCGACTTCTTGTCTGAATTCTTCGTTGGTTGGGAGAAATCGCATCCCCAACAGCGACCGCTGAATATCCTGTATATGGCGCCCTGGTTAGCAAATCTTCACTCACAGGTGCTTATGGGTGGGGAGGATCCTGAGCGCGGGAAAGAACGCCTGGCAACCATCGCAAGGAAGATGATTGATATTACGGTGCGGGAACCAAGACTTTATACTTCTTTCCAGCAAAACGCCTGGCGCATCATTAGTAAGGATGAGGGCCTACTGGATGTGTTCTTGGATGAATTGGTTAAATCGGCAATGAACTTTGGGTTTGGATCGGAGGGGGCGGAAACGATTGGTTCTATCGCATCGAGTTTCGGGACTCTGACTATCCGAGGGAAGATTATTGCTAGGATCCGGAAGGTTCTCAATAGATCATCACTAAGGCCGATGAGACATCTAGTGGACAATATTGTTTGGAATGAGATTTGCGTTTTGCTGAGACTTTGCCTTGCCATCTCTTTTGATAGTAGGGTTCAAGCGCAAATGTATCTTCCCGAGCTCTTTCATATCATCACGATGGTCGTCAATTGCGGATCCATCCTCGTGAGGTCTACGGTGCATAGCTTACTGGTTAACACGGTTCACTCGATATGTGTTTCGTTCCCGTTGGAGGATGCGAAATTGACGCAGTTGAAGGGGATACTGACCAGCTTATCAGAGCCAAAGCTCTGTTTGCTATTCAGCTTGAACAGGCCGACCAGTAGGGATGCCTTAGCAATCCAAGAACAAAGAGGCTCGGAAACTACTACTGCTACGTCTATGGAGTTGATCACCAACCTGCTATTGGAGATTGTATCCGTCGCCGCACCGTCAACCGATATGGCGAACATATGGCGGGCGCGGTGGATGAGCCTCGTCGCAAGCACAGCTTTCCAGAGCAACCCAGCAATCCAATCTCGTGCGTTCGCCGTCATGGGATGCCTCGCTCGGGAAGACGTCGATGACGATCTACTCTACCAGGTACTCGTAGCTTTGCGCGGAGCCCTAGCCAGATACTCCGAAAGTGGAGATCATGAGATGCTAACCAGCATTGTCACGAGTCTGACTAAGATGATGGAAAACCTTCAACCGACCTCCCGCTACCTCTACCAACTATTCTGGCTAGCTATGTCACTCGTCCGCGTCGGCCATGGACAAGTCTTCACCTGTTCCGCAAGTCTCCTAGAAGCAACCCTAAAGACCATCGCCTCATCCGGCGAGTTCAAGGACAACCGCATGGTCCCGGTACTCCTACAAGGGCGCAGCCAACTCGAAGAAGCCACGGCCGCAATCGACGACATCTACAACATCAAGTTCAACCCAGAAAGCTTCCACTTTGCCGTCTGCGCAACATTGACCAAAGGGCTACAAGACCCATCCACAAAGCCCTCAGCCCTGCGCACGCTCACCGCTTTCCTAGAAGTAATATCAGTCAACGCCCCAGAGAACTCACAATGGGGCATCGATGTGCCCGTACCGCCCTACCTCTCCATAGTGCTAACCCGCACAACTAGCATATCAGAGATGAAAGAAGTCCTCTGGATAACCGGAATTGCGCTAGCTGAGGAAGACGCGGCCATGGATAGCGGCGGCAGCAGCGGCAGTGGTAGCGGTTATGACACATACATGAAGCTGACGCCAATGATAGACGCCATGTCCGAGCAGAACCTGCTGCTCATTGGTGCCCTCGCCGTTGTTGACTTTCGCTCGTGCGAGGAGAGCATACAAAAGTTCACGCTCGCCCTCTTCACGCGCATGGCCGAGCGCCGTCCGGAGGTGCTCGTGCTACTCTACGACCATTTGCTGGAATATCTGGACGAGGTGCTCAATAGCTCACACAACCCCATGCTCCTGAAGGAGGCGAATGCGCTCATGTGCGTTGTTAGCATGGACTCTAGATTCGCGAATCGCGGCTCTGCGGCGAAGGAGACGCTCGCGTATCGCCTTGCCCGGTGGGGCCTGAGCGGGATTTGGACCGCGACGAGTTTTAGAAGTACCAAGGAGTTTGAGAAGAGGTGTGCTGGGTTGACGGATAGGTTGATTGAGGTTTGCATTTCGTGATCCTTCGCTTTCTTTTTCCTTTGCTTGTTTGCTGCTTGTTTGCTGCTTGATTGGTGGTGTCGGTGGGGCGGGGGGGGCTAATTTATTGTATGTATGATAGTATATCATTATTTGATTGATCTCAATCAAATGTCTATCTAGTGCGGTTTCTTCCCCCCCCCCCCTCCTCTCTCTCCTTTCTTTCTTTCATTCCTGTTTACGGTCTACGGGGGAAAGACATTCGCTGTAACTAGTTTTCCTTTTCCAAGTTTTTCATCTGGGACATGTCTCTGCTTGTTTTGCTTTGATATCCGCGTTTACTGATTGCATTGGATGGTGTGGGGCGTTCTCTGTTCCCTTCTTCATTTTTTTCCCTTCCTACTCGCCCGTCTCTGCGATGCTTTCTTTTCTTTTTTTTCTCTTTTTTCTTTTCTGTTTGCACGCCTTCTTGATGGAATCGTGATGACTATGGATGGATGGGCGTGTGGGGGCAAGCAAGTCTAAAGCGGAACGAAGGGTGAATAGATCGGATGGGAAAATGATGGTTGGCTGGTTGGTTGACAAGTGAATCATATTACGGCTTTATGTTTTGTTATGTGGCGAGCGAATTTTTGTGCCTTATTGGACTTTCACGATACGATGGTGTTTGTAGGGAGCAGCAACGACATGGTGTGCATTATGATATAGTAGGTGATATACCGTACTGTGCCGGTGGTTTCTGGATGGAAATTATGCGTCACCGGGTGTGGTCCCGAAAACATTCAACGACGAAATAATACATATATCATGTGTGAAAAATAAAGGCTACTTGCAGGAAAACTATACAATGACAACACAGCCAGTCCAGTACCGTCCAGTGCAAATAAAATAATAAAAATTAAAAAAAACACCCATCATAAATGCGGCACCCCCAAACTCGCCATTCCCAAGTTCACAATGCTGACCACGCCTTCACCCAAAATCAACCCCGAAGCCAACACCACCAACCCAGCCTCCGCACCCCGCCCCCGTCCAGCGAACCACCACTGCACAAGACCGCCGAAAACCCTAGCCAGGGTAAAGCTCGGAACGTTATACATGCCCACGGCAACCGCAATTCCCCCGGGCAGGTAACCGCCCCACTTCCCCCTCCCGAACGCGGTCCACCCCCTCAGGACGGTGACCACTGCGAACAGCGCAGCGAACCCCACGGAAAAGGCCCTTGCACCCTCCGGCAGTCCCTGTCCGAATACCAGCCGCGAGCAGTCGATCCACACGTGCGCCGTGGGGACCTGGAATAGTTTGCCGGGGACCGGGTACACGGATGTGTACAGACGGTACACGCCGGCGGAAATGATGGCGCCGAAGACGGAGCCGATAAGTTGGCCGTGGAACTGTGCCCGGGGGGAGGCGCCGAGGAGGTAGCCGGTTTTCAGATCTTGCATTATGTCGCCGGCTTGTTGGGCCCCGGCTTCCGAGATGGCGCCGGCTACTAGGTTGGTGATTATTGATGAGGGGTGACTGGGAGGGGTTAGTAGGGCGAAAAATAGTTGGGTGAGTTTCGAGATTCCCGAGACGGGGTTCAGGTCGGTTTGGCCTGGGGGGTGTTAGCTTTGTGGAGGTTTCTGGTGCGAGTGAGGAGAATACCGAGTGCGCGTACTCCCATTACGCTGAGGATTAATGCTAGGAGGAAGGCCACAATGGTAGCATAGAGAGGAACCATGCTGAAGATGACTTTTACAGCGACTACGCAGAGCAGGCCGGATGCTAGGAGGCCTATTACTACAGTTTTCATGGGGACGAGGTGCTCTTCCGGGACATCCGTCCCAAACGATTCACCGTCTTGTTCACCCATCCCCGACCCCCTACTACTTCTCCGTCTACAAAGTCCCCAAGCCCCGCCTTCTTCTCCATGCTCACTCCCGCCGCCACCGCCTGTAAGCCTCTCGTATCCTTCCCCGCTTCCAGACACCCTGTACCGCCACCAGGGAGACCTGACGATCGGTTCCAGGATTAAACCGCCAAGGGAAATCACGCTGTCGCTCAACATAATGCCCAAACTAACCCATATAATCCACCCGCGGCTGCCCGTCGTCCAGTCACTCACTGGGCCAGGGGCCCATCCATTGTATCCTGCTAGCGGGGAGAGTATGCCCCAGCCGATTATCGCACCGAGAAACATGTGCAGTGTTGTGCTTGTCCCCATAATTATGCCCTGGCCTACGTATGCCGGGCTAGGGTTTAGTGTCCATAGCCAGGTGCTTGCCGCGGCGGAGCCGAAGATTGGGAGGTCTCGGAGAATGGGGAAGAAGTAGGAGATGAAGGTCTACCACATATTAGCCAAACAATCATTGTGGCCACAGTGTCCGGGAAGGGGAGACAAACATAAGCCCCGCTTAGCGCAAAAGAATAAACCAATAACCTAGTCTTCTTCCTCCAGCTCTCCCTCTTTTCCGCATCCTCCTGTGCTTCCCCACCCCCCTCCCGCACTCCTTCACCACCCATACCAGAAACCAACCCCTCTCTCTCACCTCCACTAGCCACCTCAGCAGCGCTCTTTTCATTCCCGTGCAAAACAGAAATCATCAATGCCGTCGCAGTCCCGCTCGGAAATTTCAATTTCTCCCTGATAATAACCTGCTTTCGCAATGGCACCGCGAAAAAAACTCCAAAGAACGCTACGCCAATACTCCAGAACATTAATTGTGGTGTACCGATTTTTAGCGGGCCTCCTTCCTCAGGTTTGAGCAGTTTTTCGAGAGCAGGGATAACGCCTACGAAGCCGGCGGAGAGAGGCATTGAGCCTACGGCTACCGCTACGGTTTGAACGAGGACTGTTTATCGTTGGTTGGTCGGTGAGTAAAGCGGGGGGGGGGGGGGAGCAAGAGGTACCATTCTCAACAGGCGTGAAGGGAAACTCCAAGTACTCCGCACAGCTCTTGAATATCGCGAAGCCAATCAGCGAAGAAGGCATCGACATCATGGACACCCATCCAGCTGTGCAATGCCCCATTTGTTAGCAATCTCATTCGTCCACCCACCCTCACTCTTGGGGAAACGGGAAAACAGACTTTGCAATCCAAAGTACATATTCGAGAAATTCACCACTGTCCCAACAAGTAACCCCACCATCACCGCGCGCAGGGTGAATTGCCTCCCGGCAGCCTGACCCACCACGTATTCCCCCTCAGCAGCAGAGCCGCCGCTGCCCCGATGATGAGATGAAGGCATAAGAGGCATCAGGGGAAGTGGTGATGGAGGAGGTTCAGCTGGCCTGGAGAAAGCAAAAGAAGGAGAAGGGGGTAGAATTAGCCATCAAGTTGAGTTAGAAATCAAATCCAGGCTAGACAAACAACGGTAAATGAGCGGACGGATGCGCCATGTACGAGTACTCGTACGTACAGTACAAGTACTGCGCGACATGTTGTGCTATGCCGCAGACGAAAAGGAGTGGAGGGTGGGAAAGGTCATAAGGACAGGGGTGAAATGACGACACTTTCGGGTTGGGACGTACATTCTGGAGCTTCCGTCCAAACAGCCTTCTGTATGTGGGAGGGAGGGAGAGTGAGACGCGATAACCCCCGAAACTTCCATGTCCACAGTTTGTGGTGATGGATGGTGGGATTAGATATACGCGAATATCTGTATATTCTATAATTCCCTCCCTCCTCCTCCTCCTCTTCCTCTCGTATTCCCTCTTCCCTCGCTTCTTCTCCTGAGATATTATTTGTTGCGTGTAAACAGCGACCGTCCGCTCGCGCACTTCGGATTTCCGCTATCCCGAAGTTATGTCCGAATTTCCGCTGCCTCGCGCACGGGCTTTCCACGTGACAGATCTGGTTAAGTCTTTCAGGGGAACTCCGATCTTTTCTTGGCAAACCGAAGGATTTCGGGGCTCGGGGTGCTGCGGAAAATTTGAGACAGAAGCCAGTGATCAACTGTAATAAAGATGGGAGCCGGGTGATTTATGGAATATAGTTCTTACATGCGCCGTGGTTGCCAAAAACAGGTAGGACTTCGTTTTTTGTTGTTGTTTTAATTTCCGTCCACCGGTGGCGGTCTCATGACGGTTCTGTGGCGGTGGAGGGATGAACAGGGCCAAGTGCTCCGGTGGGAGGCCATTCGGGATCACTCGGAACTGCTCAGCAGGACAGAGTTGCAGTTGGAACCTACAGCACCGGTCCCTTAACGTGATGGACCGTGCAGTGCCCGCGGGGGGGGGATGATACTATAGCACTTTCTATGGTCAGCACGACTTTCACTCTCCCTCTGCACTAGTAGAGAGGCTCTGGTTTTGGGCAAGTCAAGAAATATAATACTAATGCGTTTACTGTGCCC